TTTATGGCAGGTTTTCCTAATAAACATGTTTGGAGTCCTTCTATAACATAAATTTCTTCTAAGCACTTTTTTCCATTATATTCAACATTTTCAAGCAGTTTTCCCATTAACTTCAAGGGTGTTTTATCGGGGCCAAAAATCACTTTATCTGTACTTTTTAGTTCTGCATGTTTGAGTACTGTGGAGGCAATACTGCTTGGAATAACAGAATAGTCTGCACCACTATCAATTTTAAATTGGATGCATTTTCCTAGTATTTTAACAGGAACAACCCACTCATCTGTGTTTTGTGTACTTCCCACTAGTCCTACAAAACCAGCATCACAAAGTTCATTGACTCTTTTAATAGTAGATAAACAAACATTATCCCAATGTCCTCTTTTCTTGCATTTTCTGCAATTTGAGTCCTTTGCTGGGCAGTTTCTTTTTTCATGTGGCTGTTTACCGCACCATTTGCAATTTTTTCGCTGATAATTAGTTTTCGAATCTTGATATTTACTTTTCGAATCATGAAAATTACTTTTGTCTGCATTAGTTGTTTTATTATATTTCTTCTTTTGACTAATAGCATTAACTGTAGAATTTTCAACTAGTAGTGATTGTTGTTTCTTAACTGATTCCGAAAGACGTACTTTGTCAATTGCAGTTTGCAGGGTAAGTTCAGAATCAAGTTGTAATTTTTCGCTTAAAGTTTGATCTTTAATACCAACAACTATACGGTCACGAAGCAATTCGTCATGTAAATTACCATATTCACACTTGTCAGCAAGAGCATATAAAGCAGTAATAAAATCGTTGACAGACTCACCTTCTTTTTGAATTCGCCGATTGAACTGAGCTCGTTCGAATATTATGTTTCGTTTAACAACAAAGTGAGTGTCGAAACTATTCAAAACCTCCTGGAATTTCTTTTTATCCTCTTCCGATATACTGAGCGAAAGAAATATGTCCTCGGCTTTATCACCCATGACGTATATGAGAGCATCCACTTGTTCCTCTTCTGTTTTTGTTATTAGTCCAGAAGCAGTTCGGAAACGTAGAAATCTTTGCTTCCATTTAGGCCATTCCGAGGGAATCGAAAAAGGAAATGATTCTGGCGGCGTTATATGATATGCAGGAGCTGATGTCATGATGTAATTTCAGAATATCGAAGGAGAGTCAAAACGTACTGCGTTAATTTGTTTTCTTTTACCGCTGCCACCATGTGTTGTTATGTATTATTTCAGTACATATTAAATAAATGAGCAGGATCTAGCATCTCGCAAACACATTTAATAACAACTTAACGAGATACACAAACACAAACTGAAACTAAACATAAAAGCAAACTGAAACTAAAACTAAACAGTTAACACACAGTTACAGTTAATCTGGCTGATGCCACACTTAGGCCCCTCCCACTTTTTCTCATCATCCAATGGGATACAGCCAGCAACAGAAACATCTACAACATTAAGACTATCCTAGAAAAGCCAGTACAGATCGAGCGCTTCAGAGGCGGCAGATTCCAGGTCCAATGCTTCAAATGTCAGAAATTTGGGCACACTCAAAGAAATTGTACTGCCACAGCTCCTGCCTGCATGAAATGCGCCAAAGAACATTACACGTACGAGTGCACAAAACCACCTACAGAACCAGCGACATGCATCAACTGTAATGGTGAGCACCCAGCCTGTTTTACAGGCTGCGGTGCAAGACCCAGGAGGATCCCTAAAGCTGAAAGACAACCCAAGAATGCCACTAACTCCGCAACCAGATTCCTCAAAATTTTTCAAGAAATGAAAGAGCTACTCAAGGACGAAAGCTAGTGAAACTACTTAGATCCCTACTCCCTGAGACCAAGAATTAGAGCCCACAAGTCTACCACTCACGTGATTTCCACAGCGCTAGGCTGTGGCGAACTTTTCATATATTTCACTTTGAAATTTATGCCTATGCAAATTAGGACTCTCAAATTTAGACGAATCAGTTAGCGGCGCTTCGCGCCGAATACTGAGATTTTCATCATTTCCAACGTTCCAACGAGCGGGTGCATTCGAATTAATTTTCGTATCAATACTCTACGATCCCTTAACAGGGATTTTTCATTTTTTACCCCCTCCTCTCTTTGAGAGACGGAGCTTCGTTTAATTGTATCATGGCGTTCATTCTTCCACCCCACGAGGGTGCTTCCGCTGACATTCAATAGCAGTCTCCATTGTGGATAGTTTTCATTTGATGTGACCATCTCTTCTTAAAAAGTCAAATTTATGTTTTTTCGATATAGTTAACACGCCAAAATGGAAGTATTTCGAGATAGCGTCAGGGACGATGCTATGTTGTGTGGCGTCTTCGATGTCGTGTCTTACCCACCGTTCCAGATAACCACCAGTTGTGCCTCTGTTGATAAAAATTTTCTCATTCCTGAGCTACTGTGCTATGTGATACCTTGCCTTTGAATATTGTGACATTGAGTTCTTTCAGCGATATGCATAAAATAAAATGTGAGTTCCCATAAAGTGGACTCACTCATTATTATAATGGACTAGTGGATTTTTCTTGTTGGTAAACAAAACAACTTCCATGGAGAGCAAGAGGTATGTCTTTTTTGAAGTGTATTCTTCTGGTAAAAAAAATTGCAGCATGATGTTTTTTGTACAAACCTATATAGATTTGTTCGGCCCTAATTATCTCTCTTAAATTTTTATTATCATTGGGTCCTATTTTTATTTTTTTATAACAGCACCAACCCAAGCCAACAGGCAGGATATGAAAATCAATCCTAGACAAACATCAATTGAGACAGTTTTTGCAACCCATGCTTCGGTTCAAATAATAGAACCTCAAAGAACCGATCTGCAAGTTTTGGCCCTCCGTGGTATATAAGGGCCTAAGAAGACGGAAATGTCATGCACTGAGCGATACCCATCTATTATGAACTATTTCTGCCCGTTCTTCCAAACAGGTACTTCTATTTAACAAAATTATCTCAATTTTATGTTTTCTAATAATTATTGTCGAAAATTACTTTTAAGTAAGTTCAGTATTATTTGTCTTATCAGAATTAAATGATTTGACGAGATTGTCAAATCAGTCACCAAATAATTAAATTGCGATAAAATAGTTAAAACGATAAAACAGCTGAATTTAATTTTAAGCCATAATTATAGAAAACAACAGCAAAAAATTAAGATAATTTCGTATAAAAAAGGGTACCTGTTCAGAAGCAGACAAAGAAATAGATGATAATAAAATAAGCGCTCCGAGTGGCGTACGACAACTTTTCCATGCTTGGATTTCTTTGGAATTTTAAACCTGAAGATGTACCCTAACTTACCTTGAAGTTTGTTGCAAGATTTTCGTGACCCCCTGCTATATATAATGTTTTTAAACTTGTACATTTCGACAAAAAAATCAAATGAAAATGTCATTAAAGAAACTGCAGCTTTAGGAGTAAACTAATTTCTGATTTAAATTTCTCGCCTCCGAGTTAGGCAAGTATTTGTATATATGCAACCAAAAATTTGTTCCCTATTATTATTATTTAATAATGAATAATAACATCACGGAATAATTATGAATTGCATATTTTAAAAAATCAATCGTTAGGTGAAAAACTTCTCAAAAGTTGAAGATATTTGGAGCGGGCTTCAAAAGCTCCATGTCGTGGAACTGAGTCATTAAATTCTACGATTTTGTGCGGTATGGAATTTTTCAGATTCCTCTCAAATTCCGGATTTTATCATTTAAAATTACGTAGATTAAATTTGTATAAAAATTTTGAATATTATTGAAATCAAAATTTTTCAAGTAAAAATATCAACCAATAGTTATAAAAAATAATTTTTTACACGGATTTTCCTTTGGATAATGAAGTTTCATAATTGTACGCAAAAAATCTTTTTCATTCGCTTTATTAATTTCGAAAAGACCCCAAAAGTAAAATTTACACGAATGGGCCCAAACTTTAGACAATTCTCTTAAGAGCTTAAACTGTTAGGCTTCTTGCTTAAATTGTTAGGACCCTATTTTCCAGATTACGGTTTTTGCTGATCAAGAACTTGAATCCGGAGAAAAAAGTTTATTCAGAGAAACTTAAAGTATAGTCTGCACAAATCAATTTGCTTATTTAGGGTTATTGGAAGGTACCTGAGTCTTAACAGGAGAAAACAGTGGTAGGAAAAACTACATTATTTTTGTAGTTTACTACAACTACTTTGTTACAAATGTAGCAAACGACAACTACTCTTTTTCAAATGTAGTGACTATAAACTACTTTGGATTTTATTAACTACTTCAATACTTTGAAGAGACGAACTTTGTTGGAGAACTTAATTTAAAACCATGTTCAAAGTGGTTTTGAATAAGAAATTGGCTTACATTAAATATAAGGAATAATTAAGAATTATTTATCCATGTTTACACAAGCCAGTCAGTTATTCCAAAACCGTCGAAGTTATTCCGTTAGTTATTCTGTGTTTCTATCCTTAACTAACGTTAAAAGTTGTTGCCTGGAATTGCTACAAACTACCGTTTTTTTTTGTATTGCACTACTCACTACTACAATCCTTTTTTTAAGAGCCCTGATGGATCAGGGAATAGAGCATTCGCTTTCCAATGAGGTGAATCGGGTTCGAATCTCAGCGATGGCTGGTCCATAAGAATTCCGCATTTGCCTTGCACACACCACAGTGCTGACGTAAAATATCCTCATTGGTAGACGGATCATGGGTTAGAGTCCCCTTGTCGTCAGGCTAACCATAGGAGGTTTTCGTAGTTTTCCTCTCCGCGTAACGTAAATGCAGGTTAGTTCCATCAAAAAGGTCTCCACGAGGGCAAATTTCTCCCAATACTTGATCCAGCAGTTCCCTCGTTTTCTGGATTGGGTTCGAAATTACAAGGGTATGGAGTTGAACATTAGTAGTCGTAAATCCAAACAAATTGGGTCGGTTGTTCAACGACGGTTATAAAATACTTTTTTACATTACACTACAAACTATGAAAAACAGTAGCGACTACAATAGTTACGCTTCTTGGAGTGCGCTACTTACGAAAAATGATCATTCCGAAAGTTATTAACTGTTTATTAATCATAAATAATTTATTTATTTTTCCGCTGTGTACAACTGATGAAACTGAAGATTTTAATTATTTCCTGAGAGGCTACATTGCAGAGGGGCAGGGAGAGATAGAGAATCAGTCATCCATTGGACACTAAAATTTTAAATTTATTCTTATAATTTTCATTCTGAAAATATCAGTTTTATAAGATTATCAACTTATTATGAATAAAACTGGTGGGCATAAAAAATTGAAATAAAGTTCTGTGATTGCTTGGAGAGGTTTTATTAATTGTTAATAGAAAATATCTCGAAGTTTCTAGGCAATAGACAATTTTTAAGCTGATTTCTGTCCAAAAACAAAAAAAGTTATTTTAATCCCCTTTGAAAAGAAAATTTGAATCGATTTATAAATTATTTATGATCTTCTAAGTTTTTAGAATTTAAACACATTAACTTTTTATCTGATATTATTTAGATTATGTTGTTTTTGCTATATTTATTCGAGGATTTCATACTAAAATCAAATTAACATAACTTATTATAGCTATATACAAAATTTTAGGGATTATCATTTTTACAGCTTTAATCGAGTCTTCTAGGCAACAAAGTTTGAAGGGGAAAAAAGTGCTTGAAAAATAAAATGTAGATTATATAGTAATTCTAATGCACATTCATAGAGTTTTCTATAATTTACGATATTTCTTTTTTCTATAACTCAAGGAATTGCTGAATGTTTAGTGGCATTTTAAAAACATTGAAATATGTTATGTTTAAGAATGAGATATTGAAATAATATGCTGCATATTGTATGATTAATTGTTTAAAAAATTGCTTCATTCTAAAAAATTGCTGGTTTTCTTTGGATAAAGATGATTAGAAAATGGCATCCTCATGTTTCGATACATTCTGAAACTTACGTTCGCAAATTCACCATAAAATGTCGCACAGCATATTATTCAATTACGATAAGCTACATTTACCACCAAATACTGCTACTATGATTATTTTTGTTTCCTTATATATATCTGATACTCTCTTCTTAAACAGAGCTCGTAAGATCCTTAAGATACTGAAATGGGGGCACAAAAACTTAAAAGATAAAATATTTAATTTCATTAACTCAAAATATCTGGTCTCAAAATTTTAATTTTTAAGTTAAATATATAACTTTTACAATATTGATGCTCTTACGTTTTTAAAGACCACATGAATCCTGTTAAAATATTAAAATGCATATGTTTACTTTAACGAGTGTAAAATCCTTATCAAAATAAAGATCAAGACCCAACTGTAAAACAGTATAATTGACGATAAAAAGTCAACTGGCTTCAAATCATGTGAAGAGGGTAGTAAAAGTCGACAAGTTTCGAGCTTTCAAATATTATCGCCCATTCTCAAGACTTGTCAGGCTTGAATAACTTGTGACTTTTATTATTGTACGCTCAAAACATGTCTACTTTTATTATCATCTATTATTTTTTTAAATCAATGAAGTTTTTATATTTTCGATTCAGTTTCTGGAGATTATCCATTTAGTTACACATCATATTAAATTATTTCACTCGATATTAAAATAAGTTTTACATAAGTTAGAGGCACAGGTTCTTAGATTAAAAAAATTAATAATTCACTGCTTTGTAAAAAAAATCAATGCAGTACAATTTTTTTTTGCTGCAAGCCTTAACATTTTAATTTAAGGACCTGAATTAAATTATTCAAGCTACATGATTTAATGCATTTATAGTATAATAGTAAACGGGGCTTCCATCACATGTCCGTAACCTTAATACCGCTATCATTAAATAAATGGAATAAGCTTAGATAAATAATAAAAGTTAATTTTTTCCTCGTTTTAATTTTCAAGGAATAATATGTTTCGATCAAACAGATTTCATTCTGGAAATAGCGAAATTATTGAGTAGGTCCCTTGGAGCAATATGAGTCTTCAAAAAAAAACTTGATTATAATTTAGAAAGGAACTTTACTTTAAAGAAAACCTAAATTATAGTACTAAAAAAATTGATTAGTATATTAATGAAGAAATAATAAACGTAAAAGGGTAAAGAATGAGATTTTTAAAAATATTAAAATTTAATTAAATAGTTGGTAAAATAAACTGCTGTTTGTAGAAAATGCAACACCATGAAAGAATCATCAGAATCAAATGAAATTTAATGCAGAAACGACTTGTACTGATACAAATAAATGATGAAATTTTCAAAACAAAAGAAACAAATTAAGCGTCCGAAATCAGTATTTGGTGCAGCCACCACGCGCTGCAATAAGTGCTGCTATACGACGTGGCATGGAGTCAAACAGATGTTGAATATCTGCTTGAGGAAGAGAATTCCATATCGCTTGTATGCGCAACCAAAGTTCGTCTTTGGAAACTGCAGGACGCGGATCACGAGTGAGACGCCGACCAACCATATCCCACACGTGCTCAATAGGCGACATATCCGGCGAATAAGCAGGCCAAGGAAGAAGTTGCATGCGTTGTGCTGAACAGAAGTCTCTAACAGTCCGCGCAACATGTGGGCGTGCATTATCCTGCTGAAAGATAGCTCCAGGGATGCCTTGAAGGAAAGGAACGACTTCGGGCTGTAGCACTTCACGGACGTATCTGTTGCTATTGAGATTACCCTCAATTCGTATCAAATTGGATCGTCCATGATACGAAATCGCACCCCAGACCATAACTCCGGGTGTTCGACCACTATGTCGTTCAATAATACACTCAGGAAGGCAGCGTTGACCGGCATAACGTCTAACACGAACACGGCCATCATGGGTCCACAAATTGAAGCGTGATTCATCTGAAAAGACAACTTGGTGCCAATCAGCTCGCCAGTCTCTGTGCTCAAGAGCCCACTGCCGACGCAGCCGTCGATGATCCGCCGTGAGGGGAATCCTGTATAATGGCACCCTTGCACGCAATCCACGGCGCAGCAGACGACGACGAATTGACGAAGCCGACAATTGTACACCTGTAGCAGTAGACCAATGTGCTGCCAGCTGCCTGGAGGAAGCTGTGCGATCATTCACCGCCATGCGGAGCAGGTGTCGATCATCGCGCTCTGACGTCACCTTCTGTCGTCCAGTGCCTGTTTTTCGAGTTGTTCGGTGCTCGTCGGTCCACTGCTTCCAAACTCGCATCACTGTGGAACTGTTCCGCTGCATACGAGCTGCTATTGCGCGATAGGAAAATCCTCCTTCTCGAAGGCCGATTATCCTCCCTCGTTCAAACTCCGTAAGTTGCTTGAATTTCTTATTCTTCCGTCGTGGAGGCATACTCAGGTCTCACTAAACGTTTGCCACTAACAAATAATCATAGACTATTTTCAACGTCCCGCTACAGCACTTTATTTATACGCTTTCAGCATCAATTCAGAGGGCGCTGCGCGCGCCACGTAGCAAAATAAGCTCTGAAACTTTATTAATTTGCATAATATCCTATATCCATTATTAAAATAATATTTCATTTGATTCTGATGATTCCTTCATGGTGTTGCATTTTCTACAAACAGCAGTTTAGTTCTGCGAAACACTTCCGGAAATTTCTTTTAAGATTAAGACGATATAGGGTAAACCAACCAGTGAAGGAACACACCCCAGTGAAGGAACATTTCATAGATATTTTTTAAAAATAAGATTTTAAACGTTTTAATTTCGATGGATTGGTAACAGTAGCTTACTACCTAACAATAGGAAGTCATCTAACAATGCACTGAGTTACCTGATCTTAGAGTCTTCTCTGGAAAAAGTTTTGAATTTGTTAGTATCTGTTCCACGCCTTATTTCTTTGACAAATTATAAGGTCAGGGTTTGTAGTCATCCGTTTAAAGTACAATTAATTGCATATAATAATGATTTTTTTCCCTCATTGTGAAAGAGAGAATTCAAAATATGGTTATTGAAGTTACGTTTTATTTATTTTAAGCATCATAACATAAGCAAGTACTGAGATTAGGGGGTGTTTATTAATTGGATTACAAAGCGATGAAAAACCAATGAATAAACAAGTGTTCCTTTACTGGGATTTTTTCAAGTTAATGAAAATAAAAGAAAAAAATTTAATTTTCTTGTACCTTCAGTCATATTATACATCAAAATTATGTTGAAAATGCAAAAATCAACTTCTAACCAGTGAAGGAACAGACATGTTCCTTCACTGGGAATAGATTTCCCAGTGAATGAACAGTATGTGTGAAATATGATTTTACATGGATAATTAGTAGTTTGAGGTATAGAAGACACCTAAAATTCAGTTAAATGTTGTATGAATAGTTCCTATAACAATTTCATTTCAAAATGCAAATTTAATTGCTAAATTTATTTAAAGAATTATAATAATAATTTATTTATTATTTATCTTTATAAATGTAGTGATTAGTTATTACATCATACCTTAGACAACTTAATAAACTATGTTTACTGATTGAATATAACAACTAAATATAATAATAAAAGCTGGAATAGAAAATTTCTTTGCAGGTTTTTGTGCCAATAATTAGCTAAATTATTGTCCTATTGCGGTCTTTAACGTCCTGATGGGAACTGGTAGGAAAAATCCATTTAAAGACAATCATCCAGGTGAAAAATGGGTGAAGTTTTTTTAAGACGACATCCACCGATAACTCAGTGCAGTGTGAAGATAATTTCAAAAGGCAAAACTTCCCTTAGAGAATAATATTCGAAATACTGGTTTTAAGAACTTTAGGGGAAGTAGCCCTGGCATCCTTTTAGAAAGTGATTGCATTTACAATGCGAACGAAATAAGAGTTGAATACTGCCCTTAAACGGGAAAAATCTTTGGTCCTAAAAATTATAAGGATTTATATTCTAAAGTACCTAGGAAAGAAAAAAGTACCTTCATCGGTAGTTTTTCCTTACTGAAGAATTCTTTGAGATATTACAGAATCAGTCACTGCTAAATATTTCATTGGAAAAAGCGATTCATGAAATGAAACGATGACCGCAGCAACATTTTACAAATATATTGCAAACGTTTCTACCCATGGCTAATTAAAAATGCTCTCAAATTCCTTATTTTGCTTCTTCTGGATAGATATAAATCTCATATCAATTTGAAACTGAGCAAGTTTTGTTCATCAAAACAAATTTTCTGGTTTAGTTTTCTACCTAATTCATGGAAATCTCCCGTCAGATCTTGAAAATAAAAGAATTGTAAAACATATTATTATATATACAAGAATCAAGGTAAATCATATTTTATTAGGGAGAAGGTGAGGTTTACATCTTGTTACGTTTAAGGCTGAACAACAACTAACTAGCGCGGGATAACAAAAGGTTGAGTTGAGTTGAGTCGTTGCAAGGCGTATTTACACTGAAGATAAAATACATGACAATTCTCTGGCACTTAAATAAAAGGTTAATTATGAATTATTAAAATTTAAGAGTCAATAACGAATAATTAGAGATTTAATCTGATGACTGGTCTTTTTTCCCGAGTTGATCTCCTTAACTGCATTGGATTTCTCTGGGTTACAGGACTAGATACTGGAAGAGAGGAGGGTATGGTGGATGTAGAGCTGGATACTGGACGAGAGGAGGGTATGGTGGATGTAGAGCTGGATACTGGAAGAGAAAAGTGTACTGTCCTGGGCCTAGAAAATTTTAAAGAAGGAGTTATTGATTTTTCAACTTGACAACCTCTTAATTGGTTAAAGTGACGCTTGATCACATAACCGTCGTCTAATTCAATGAGATAGTGAAGTCGTCCAAGTTTTTCAACAACAGTTCCATGCTTTCATTTAGCAGATGATGTATAGTTGCGAGACTGTACTCTTTCTCCTAACTTGAAAATTTTGTTAAATTCTGGCTGCAAGGCATTATTTTTTTGTCCTTTAGTTGGTTTGATTAAGTCGAATTCACATCTTAAGTTTCTACCAAATAACATTTCTGACGGAGTTTTTTCATTGTTCAATGGTGTTATTCTGTATCGGAAAAGTAGTTTGCATAATTTACTATGGAGGGAACCTGGATGATACTTCATGCATTTTAATTTCTCTTTTAATATCTGGACATAGTGGTCTGCTTGGCCATTTGTAGCTGGATAGCCTGGAGCAATAAGACGCTGTTTAATACCATTTGACTTACAAAAATGTTGGAATTCTGCTGACTTAAAAATTGCGGCATTATCAGAAACTAAAATTTCAGGCAATCCATGACGACTAAAAATTTCTTCTAAATAATAAATTGTGTTTGATGATGTAGGAGATGTCTTCATAACAAAAATTTCAGGCCATTTTGAAAGTGAATCCACAGCAATTAAAAATTGATGCTCCATGAAGGGTCCGGCATAGTCGTTGTGCACGCGTTGCCAATTTTTCTCCGGTGTTTCCCATATGCGAAGAGGTGCTTTCGCTGGATTTTTTCTTACATCACAGCATTCACGGCAACTTTTAACCATGTTTTCAATATCGGTGTCAATGTTTTTCCAATAGCAGTAGTTTCGAGATAAAGCTTTCATTTTCACAATTCCTATGTGTGTAGCATGTAGTTGCTTGAGCATTTCAGGTTGAAGAGATTTGGGAATGATAACTCGATTTCCTCTAAATAAGATTCCATCTTGAATGGTTATACTGGGATCAAACTTGTTTCCAATAACAATATCGTATTTTATTTCCAGCAGGATCAAGCTCTGTTTCTGTTTGAATTTGTTTTGCTGTAATTGTTTCAGTTGAAATGTAATTTATGATAAATTGCTGGATTCATCAATACAGTTGACGTAATTAACTGGTAGTGGAAGAGGATTTCTTGAAAGGTAATCAGCATTTGTATGCTTCTCAGATTTTCTATGTATAATTGTGTAATCGAAACTCGAAAGAAATTGAGCATATCGAAGAATTCTTGAAGCAATCATAACTGGGAGGCTTTTCTCTGGAGGGAAGATAGCGCAAATGGCTCTGTTATCGAGAATCAAGGTAAATTTTCTGCCAAAAATATAATCGTAAAATTTTTTGCAAGCCTAAACCACAGCTGTAGCTTCTCGATCCAATTGACTGTAATTTTTCTCGGCAACTGTGAGACTTCTGGAAGCAAAAGCGATAGGACGCTCTATACCGTTTGGCATAGTGTGTGAAAGAACTCCTGAAAGTCCAAAAGGGCTGGCATCAGTAGCTAATGTTACTGGAAGAGCTGGATTGAAAGGCACTAGAATCTGGTCACTGGTTATAATTGATTTTGCTTTTATGAACGCAGATTCACATTCTGCAGTCCATCGGAAACGTGCGTTTTTACATAAGAGTTTGTTTAGTGGATGAAGTAGGCTGGAAGCATCTGGAATGAACTTAGAATAATACATGACAAGTCCAATGAATTTACGAACATCATCAACGGAGTTTGGTCGAGGTGTTTCGGATATAGCTTGAATTTTATCAGGTGATTTGTGTAGTCCAGCAGAACTGATAACATGTCCCAAATACTGAACTTTTTCCTCGAAAAATCTACATTTGTTAAGATTAAGATGCAAATTATGTTCCCGTAACTTTTCTAATACTTTAATTAAACGTTGCTGGCAATCTTGTTTATCTTTTCCTTGGATGATAATATCATCAAAGTAGGCAATAGTTCCATCCAAATCTTGGACAAACTGATCAATAAATTTATGGAATTCATTTGGTGCAGTTTTTATTCCGAAAAATAATCTTTTTGCTAAGTATGTACCTCTATGAGTAGAAAGAGTCTGATATTTTGCACTTTCTTCATCGACTTTCAAATGTAAATATGCTTTGTGGATATCGAGCGTACAGAAATATTTCCCATCGCGTAATTTATTGAAAATGTCCTCAATTCTAGGAATTGGGTGTCTGGCATTTTGAAGCTGACTGTTAATTGTAACTTTAAAATCTGCGCAAATACGAATTGTGCCATCATGCTTTGGGACAACTACTAGGGGTGTACCCCATTCTGATACGTCTATTTTTTCTATTACACCTTCCGCTTCTAATTTATCTAATTCTTGTTCTACTTTTGATTTTAAAGCATACGGTACAGTACGTGGTTTAATAAAAATGGGTTTAGCATCTGGAATTAGCTTTAGTGTACAAGTATAATCAGGAATGCAACCAATTTTAGGTTCAAACACATCAGAAAAAGAATCAATAATTTTCTGTATAGAAAAATCAGTAGAAGAAATGCTGGGTTTAATACTTGTATTTTGTGCAGAAATAATGTGAAGATCATTTAAATTAATATTCAAGTTTCTAATCCAATCACGCCCTAATATAGAATTTTTCTTTATCGAAACAACATACAAATCTTCAAAGCTAGATTTATTTTGATATGATACTTTAATCTGAGCAACACCAAGAGGCTTAAAAATTTGTCCCGTATAACTTCTAAAAGATACATTCGTTTTTTTTATCGGAANTGACTCGCCCATTTTGAAATCAACTGGTGGGATATATGCCTTATGTGGATCAATTTTAGGAGGCAACATTCGTTTCGGCCTATAGAAGGTCCTATGAGAGATAAAAAATAATTCAATATATAGAAAAATCCGTATTTTATTACTTCAATGCAGACTATTAGTTAGTGTAATTATCTCATACTCCAACTAATTTTGTGGTACTTTCACCTACTATATAATGCATATTTATTCTCAAAATTGATTTCAAATATTTTATATAGCTGCAGTTTTTCAGAAAAACCTGTCAGGCTAATTTTTAAAAAAAAATTTGCATCACATTTTTTCCCTTCTTTTTTTTCCAAATCAATTGGAGTATGTAATTGCAAATTAATTAATTTGCTAATTAATTAATTAGCAAATTAATCCCTAATCTCCCTTGTAAGTAAAGGAGAGAAGACAACAATGCCTCATTAATAAGGTGTTATCACACTAGAAGTAAATTTTAATTTTGGAGAACTAGAGTTATTGAAGTAAAAATAAATAAATACTTTTTGGCAAAATCTTCTTGCTCAACAGGAGGTGATGGTGGTACACTAGGATCCAAGTGATTGCTGAAAAAATAGAAATGAATTAAAAATGACACTCCAGGATACATTTCAGTTTAACTGTGATTTCATGGAAAACTTACCTTCGATAAGATAAGTAATTTCGATACGCACTTGGTGAAAGTGGTGCTTCGTAATAACTAAAAGAGAATAACAAGCGCACAGTTGTTGTATATATATATATATATATATATATATATATAGCATAATAAATAAATACAAAAAACACGAAGAAAATTAAGGAAATCGATAAGTTTTATTTACTGCTCATAAGCAGCAAGTAAATAGAACTCATAAAATAAGTTCAAAATGTAGATAAGACATGGAAAAATTACAGAACAATGAAAAAAAGGGGGAAAGGAAAAATAATAATAAAAATATCAAGAAACCGGAAAATAATTCGAAAAAAATAAGAAAAAACCGGAAAATAGAAGATATAATCTTTTCATTAGCTCACACGATTATATCCACAAAAAGGAGTGCTTTCTAATATTGTATCAATATAGCCGAAGCAAAATATATCAATACAATAGTGTGAGTAGCTCTCACAAAAAATCTTTTACAAAAAATTACAACAAAGAAAATAAAACACAATAAGTTAAAATATCACGTAAAAACAGAAAATAAAATATGAAGAAAAAACAGAATAGAACAGAAAATGAAATCTATAAAGCAAGTAGCGAATGCATATGAACGGGAAATTTTTCTAAAATGATTTAAAATATTTTCCCAGCAAGATTGCTAGATTGCAAAATTTGAAACCAAAATCGCAAATAAAAGTAATGGCGTAAATAGAGGGATTTTGTATTAAACTGCGTTCTTACTGCAGTATTCAAGTGCGTTTGATTTGTTAGTTACCAAGGATGGTACCGAAAATGGATGTGAGCAAGGTAATATTAAATTAGATAATTTAAAGAAGTTGACAATTAATAATTTTAGAAAATTAACATTTATTAAGGAAAAAAAATAAAAGAGAAAAAAAAAAACATGAATTGCCTGCTTTGCTCATAATTTTAGCCACAGATTTGCCCGAAATGGTTTTACACATGGAAAAAAATTAACAAAGAAAATTTTTAATAAATTTATTTACAATAATATACAATTAACTCATTGATTTTATATAGAATTTAATTACTTTAATTGGGTATCCATTGTTTTTTTTATTATCAAATTTTGAAAGAGTTTATTTATTTGTTTTTTGTATAAATAATTATTACTACATATTCTTCTAATTCTATTCATTTCATTAAAAGTGGTATTTAAATAGATGCTCCTAGAAACATTAGAATTCCAAGTAACTAGTTTATTAATATTAAAATTAAAATCATTTCTTTTATCGTTCTAATCCATAAAGCAGATATTTTCTTCTTTTATAACACCCAAATCCAGGGCCGGATTAAGCGGACGCGGGCCCTAGGCCATTCAAATTTTTGGGGCCCTTAGATTAAATATTTTTTTCTCGTATATTTTTTATTTATTCAAATGTGAAAGTATTTATATATCTTTTCATTTAAGAAAGCATATTTAAAATAAAAATAAATAATAATAAATTAAATTTTACTTTATTTTGTTAAATTAGAACTAAAAAAAATATCGTATTTTATTGATATATATTTGAAATTGAATTTTTTTGTTGAAAAAATAATTGTTTTTCTTAATTTTTTAAAATTTATTTTCAAAAATTTTTTTTAAGGGGGCCTCTAATCATTGGGGGCCTTAGGTCATGGCCTTTTCTGGCCTAATGATTAATCCAGCCCTGGCCAAATCTAAGAAATTAAATATTATCATCATGATTACGAAGCAAGATTAATTCCTTGGGGTAAATATTATTTAATAAAATAGTATAATCTTGAAAGTTAACGATAATTAAATCATCAATAAATCTAAAAGCAAATTTAATATTACGAGTATAATTTTTTTCATAATAATGCAAAAATAAGTTAGCTTAGAGAGATGATCCTCGTGTTATTCCATCAATGTGAATAAAAATATGTTTTCCATCGAAAAGATAATTATTAAAAAGACTAAAATTAATTAGAATTTCCCAATAATCAAAATCGCAACAAAGGATATTTTTAAAATCATGGTAATAATTCAAAAGGACATCTTTTAGTTTAGAAAGGGGAGTGCAATTGAAAAGATCCTGGAAATCAAAAGTCGCAATAGAATTAATTTTATTATGCTTAATGAATTCTAAAATCGGTTGATTATTAGTGATAATCCAAGAAAAACCTTCTTTAACAATATTGCTGAACAGTGATTAATAGTGTGAGGAGCATTCAAAAAATTGAACTAAATTACAACACATTAAATAAAAAAAAAATATCATTAAAAAAATAAAATGTAAAGAAAAAAACAAAACGAAACACAAAACGAAATCTATATAGTGAGTAGCGAATTCAAATGAACTTACACGTACTGCAATCTTTCAAAAATAACTTAAAATATTTTCGTAATAAGATTGCCAGATTACAAAATAGGTAAGCATATAACAGTTATTTAAAAAAAAAAGAAAAAAGAAAGAGTGATTGATAGATAGATAGATAGATAGATAGATAGATAGATAGAGATAGATAGATAGATAGAGAGAGAGAGAGAGATTACTTTAGATGGGTATTCAATGTTTTATTTATTTATTTTTTTTAATAAAATTTTGAAAGAGTTTGTCGATTTGTTTTTTGGATAAATGAACATTTCTCCATATTCTTTAAATTCTATTCATTTGATTAAAAATTGTATTTAAATAGATGATTTTAGAAATATTGGAATTCCAAGTAATTAGTTTATTTATATTAAAATTAAAAAAAAATTTTTATCATATAAACCAACAAAGCAGATATTTTCTTTTTATTATTCTTTTTTAATGCTGAAATCCAAAAAATTAAAATTAATATTATCATCATGAATACGAAGCAATATTAGTTTCTGGGGTTAAATATTATTTAATAAAATTGTATAATCCTGAAAATTAAAGAAAATTGAATCATCAATAAATCTAAAAACAAATATAATATTAGGGTATAATTTTTATCATATAGTGTAAAAATAAGTCAGCTAAGAGACGTGAAAAATTAAATCGTTGTGGTATTCATCAATTTGAATAAAAATGCGTTTTCCATTGTAAAGATAATTATTAAAAAGACAAAAATTGATTAGAATTTCTCAATAATCAAAATCGCAACTAAGGATATTTTTAAAATTATAGTAATAATTCAAAAGGACATCTTTAAATTTTGAAATGGGAATGCTATTGAAAAGATCCTGGAAATCAGAAGTAGCAATAGAATTAATTTTTAGTTTGCTTAATAAATGGTTGTTAATAATGGTTGATCATTAGTGATGATCCAAGAAAAACCTTCTTTAATTATATTGCTAATAATTTTATTTAAGTAGTTAGAGAAAATGGTGCCAGGTTTGGTTAGGTAAGTATTAGATCCATATGTGATTGTTCTAAATTTTATAGGAATTTATAAATTTCGGACTGATAATTAAGTAAGGAAATTGAATATTGCTAACTTTAATTTTTAACCTCTTATATAAAGCTAAAATTTTTTTAATGACAATATTATTATTTAAGTTACTAAGCTTTTTTTTAAATTCCGTATTTAAAAGTTCAACTTAGAATTTTTTTACATGATATAACATAACTATTGTTAGCTTTTTCTATGGGGTAATAAATTTATTTTTTTGTAGTTGCTTAATTGATTGAAGAATTTTAGAAAAATTTGCTGAATTGTTACTGTTATTTAAATTTTCCTTATAATTGAAAACAAAGCTTTTAAAGTAATAATAAACAGCCCATTTCCATACTGTTAAAATACCTAAAGGTGAAGAGAATGTATTTGATATCTTTAAACAAAAACTATTCAGATCATTAAGAAGGTATTTTAGAATTTTGTTAATTTATGTATAGTAAATGGGGCTGCCGGGTAGGTGGTCGAGTGAATAGCGTGCCTGACTGCGAAGCCAATGGCTGCTGGTTCGAATCCAACTCTGGGTATGGATGTTTCTCCCTCTCTCTGTGTTGTCTTGTGATGTACATATGTGGCCCGCCTTATGAACGGGTATTTGTGGCAGTGTGGCGTGGGTAATGTTGCTCGCCTCCGTGACTTTGGTTCACAGGTGCCCACTGGGTAACGGGAAATGAGCAACACTTCCGGCATCTTCTAAGGCGAAGAACGAAAGTTCAGTGCCTGCCGTTATTTAAAAAAAAAGAAAGAAAAGTAAATGGGTCTAAATTTTGTGCTTTTTATCATTAAACTCCAAAGTTCTAAGTTTTCTATAATATTTTAATTACCAGTAATAATATGTTTATGATGCTTAGTAAGAAAATCTAAATTCTCTCTCTCCTCTCTCTCTCTCTCTTATATATATATATATAGTTATATANCAGACGATCTCATGGACCCTCTTCATATGAATCAAATTTAGATCTTTGCACCTAATTAACATCTCTCGGGGTTGCATAGCGACCACCTGCCCTGC